GTCGAATCGGAGGTAACAGCTCGTCGCGGCCTGGCAGCACCCGAACCAGTTCAACCCTATACACTGTGGGTGGCATCGGATTACCGTGGAACACGGGGTTGCCCGGTTGAACGATTTTGCCCTTGGCGACATTGACCAACTCGCCACCCGCGAAGTGCAGGAGAGTGCAAGGAACGTCGGCGGCGCCCTGCGAAAATATGTAGGGCGTCAGGGATGCCCAGTCAAAGGCAAGGAGATGAAGTCATCGGCCGAGAGGCTTAGTTACCATGATGCCGTCGAGCTCGGCTAATGTCGAGGCACCGCCAACGGCGGGCGTGCAATTGACGGAGGGGCCGCTTTGTTGAATTCATTCATGATGCTACTGAAAATTATTATGAGGGAGGAACATATGCTTGTAGGAATTGTAATAATATCAAGTTTCCTCTCTATGTGTTGAAAATTTTGAAGCTATGCTTGTTTTGCCTCCCTATGCTAGTTGATTATTGTTCCCATAAGTTGTTTGCTCACAAAATCCCTATGCATAGGAAGAGGGTTAGGCTTAAATGTGCTAGTCATATGCTTCATGATGCTCTCTTTATGTTTCAATTCTTATCTTTTATGTGAGCATCATTTTCATCATCATGCCTAGCTAGAAAGGCATTAAAGAAAAGCGTTTGTTGGGAGACAACCTAATATTTACCCTTACTGTTTTTGTGTGTTAACATTATTATACTACTGTAGTAATCATGTTTTATAGCTTTTGTTTCAATAAAGTGCCAAGTAGAACCTTTGGGAAGACTTGGGTGAAGTTTATGTGATCTTGCTGTAAAAAAATAGAAACTTTAGCGCTCACGAGGTTAGCTACCATTTTTTTACTGAAGAGTGCTTTTAGGTTGATTCTTTTTGCAGATGATTAATAGACAAATTACTCAGGTCCATCAATTTATTTCATAATTGTTGGGGTTCCAGAAGTATAGGTTTTATACAGATTACTACAGACTGATTCTGTTTTCTATGTGTTGTTTGCTTATTTTGATGAATCTATGAGTAGTATCGGGGGGTATGAACCATAAAGAACTTAGAATACACTAGTAGAAAAACACCTAATAGTCCCGGTTCATGAACCGGGACTAATGGGTCGTTACTAATACCTCCACCCATTAGTCCCGGTTCAAACACGAACCGGGACCAATGTGCCTCCACGTGGCCGGACCGCCGAGCCCAGTCAGGGGGCCTTTGGTCCCGGTTGGTGGCTCCAACCGGGACCAGAAGTCCATGTTTTTTTAGAAAAGTGGCTGCTTTAGGGGTTTTGGGGGTTATTTTTAGGTTGTTATTAGCTAGCTAATATCGAGAAGTGTCCTCTCTTATATCTTCGTCCTTGGTTTATCAATGCTGCTGCTATGTTCATTTCACCCGCTGATATAACATGCTCATGCATGCTCGAATCATACATCATCATATATAATAACAAGTCCTACTAATCATGCATCATCATACAACTTCTACTCATTATTAATAATAAGTCATGCGATCATCATCCTCATAGTCATCGGACCCAACCCTACATAATTGTTCTTAGCAGATGATCATCAGTATCAGGTAGGACCTAAACACCCTTAAGGTAAAATAGCATAAAACAATATAGACCTTGACTCTCCATTATGAAGAATGGCGATCATCCTATCTCCAATTCTTGCCCTTCGCTGCTTATTGCTTCCAAAAAGCTCCTTACGACTGTCCATACATTTTTTCCATTGTTTGATTGTTATGTCTCCACTTCTTTTAGAAACCCGGTATGGACAGTTGAGATTCGTAGGACGACCTGGTTGTATGTTCAAAACATGAAGGCTACCATGCGTATACATCAGATGAGGCATGCAATCATTCAGGATTATCTGTTGAAAAATATAGTAATAACGTCGTAGTTAGCAATGATGTACTAGTTTTAGAAGTGTGCAAAAAGATGCACGGATGTTGTAATAGTAAAAAACAATCTTACCAGGGTATCTCCATGGTAGTTACCGTAGTTCAACACGTGCACTAGTGGCACGTATTGACCATAATGTTGAGGAGTTTGATTGTAGATATTGTAATTCTCAAGATCAGTACAAAATCCGACCAGATGATTTTTCTCCTGATAAGTTAATTCGGAGCCTTCGGTATAGTAGGTTCTGTCTACCATCTTCCGCACATTCTTTGAAGAATGAAAATAAGCTGTCAATGGAGATAAGTTGTCAACTATATATTTTGAAATAAACAATATAAATTACTTAATAACTATGTTAAGCTCAGATGGGGGAAGAATTGGAGGTGTATCCACAAGGACCCAAATCGAAGGTCTCTCTTGCGCGATTGTAGGATCACCAAGATCCATGGTGACAAGCATACCCTCATCAAGACCATACATCTTGCAAAGTGCTTCCCAATTTTTGCAACCAAAATGGGTTACACTCTGAGCATTGTACAACTTTACTTGAAAATCCACACCATGATGGGTACTTAGGATAATTTTTTTGGTTTCGAAACTTTCATGGTCTTCAAAACCCATCATCTCCAAGACATAGCGTCTTGCAAAGCATGGGATAAGCTAGTCGAATTGAAAAATATGAAAAATACACGTTAAAATAGTTGAAGTCGTGCTTAATTACGAAAAAACTATTGTCGTCGTTGCGTACCGTATGAACATCGCAGGTCTCCTCGAGCTTAATGCTGAAGCGCCGATCTTCGTCCAGCTCAATGAACCTGTCGCAGATACCTCGGTCGTCGTGGCACCAGTCGCACTCCCCTGGGCGGTTTTCGTCGTCCGATGAGTATGACATTTCTGGCTTACGTTCATAATTCAAATATTAAACTAGATCATTATTATTAATCACGGGTTGACTATCGATGATCGATGTACATAGCTCCTCCTTTCATTCCCGAATGCATTATTATATCAAATTGTCTAGCACACGGGAATGAAGGAGAACTTATCCAATATGAGCATTCAATAAGCAAAACCAAATCATAAAATAAGCAAAACCAAATCATAAAATAAAGTATAGTATTCAAATTAGCATGCATTCAATAATTATAAGCAAAAGTACATCATCTTTTGGTGTCCGTACATCGTCGAATATTATCACTAATACAATTAGAACCGTAGAGCCCGACGGGTATCGACGTGGGCGGTGGACACCCAAAGATAAGGAACCATCACAGGATCATAACTCCAGTGAGATCCCTGAAGAACCTGCCAGGTATTGTCGAACCTGCCCTCCAATGCAACCATGTAGCGACGGACGTGCTCGTCCTCCTCGCTGACACGGTGACGTACAACCTCCGCGGTGTCCGGATGCCTCACCACCGTCACTGGCCCACGCGACCGCTACCAAACAAGGATCGGGTCAACAACGGGCTGCCTCCTCACCAACCTACGTCCCCCGGAAGGTAGCACCTTCCAATACCAGCCCGGCGGAGCCCAGTCCCGAACATGGCCCTGATCAAGCAGGCCTCCACCACCGAGTCGACGACGACGAGGATGCGGGATAGACATCGCCGATGTCGATGCGGGAACTACTTCTATATATAGTTAAATAAAAGTAGTTTTATTAATTAAATCAACTATCTAGTTCAACTACTAAGCACTTACTATAAATAAATAAGTAGTACTTACTAAAAACAAACTACTTCTATATATAGTAAAATAAATTAGTTTATTAAATCAACTAGCTAGTTCAACTATATATAAACTACTTCTTATTTTTTTCCTTTTTCTAAATACTATGAACAAAAAAATCATTAAAATTCTATGAACTACATATCTAAATTACTACACATCTAATCTAATTAATCTAACAAAAAAATCTAACATAATATAAACAAATTAATTACTACACATCTAATCTAACAAAAAAATCTAATCTAACAAAAAAAATCTATGAACTACATATCTAAATTACTACACATCTAACCTAACAAAAAAAATCTAATTAATCTAACAAAAAAATCTAACATAATATGAACAAATTAATTACTACACATCTAACCTAACAAAAAAATCTATGAACTACAAAAAACTCTAAAAAAATCTAACAAAAATAAAAAACAATGCTCACGTACGGCCGAAGACGGCGAGGTGCGGAGCGGGGCGGTGACGGCGTCGAGACGGCGCGGGCCGGGGCGGCGACGTGGATCGGGGCGGCGCGGGCGGGCTGGGCGGGGCGCGCGGGCGGCGACGACGCGGGGCGGGGCTAGGCGGGGCCACTACAAGAAATATGTCAACTAGTGACCTGCACTATTGGTCACTGAAAAGTCATAGTTTTCAATTCGTGACCTTTTTGTGACCAAAAACATAAGGTCAAAAGCTGGGGGTCGTTAACTGACTATAGCGACCTTCTCTGTGAGAAGGTCGTAGACGTTTACGACCAAAACAGAAGGTCGTTGAACCCATGACCTTTTGTTTTGGTCACTAGCTGTCTGCCCAGGCCACGTCGGATTCGACGTGGCAATCTGACGTGGCAAAATTGTGACCAATTCATAAGGTCGTTACTTAGAATCAGCCCAGTCCATTTCGGTGCTTTAGATGGGCCGAGCCCATTAATTATTATTTTTCTAGCAATTTGTGTCAACTACATGGGCCGAGACCAAGAATTTGGCCTTTTTATTTTCTAGGACACGGCCTTCTACAGTTCATTTCTTTTTTGGGCCTCAAACTTTTTATAGTCCATTTCAATTTTGGGCCTCCATAAAAAAATTGTTCCAGCGATAATGAAATAGAGGGAATTCAAACAAGCATGTATCTTAAACAGCCATGGGTGACAATTTTATTTCTTTCAACACAAAAAGATTCCTTAAACAGCCACGTGTACAACAGTAGGTACATTCAAGTACACAGTAGGTACATTCAAGCACAGGAAGTACTACCAAGGAGCTAAAACACGTACTAACAGCAAACATGTACATTCAAGCATCCACGTAGCTACCAAGTAGCTACCATTTCTACCAGCAGTAGCAACAGTCGCCTGAAAGACAAGGAGGTGCTACCACCACCAGCGGCAACCATCCATCACCACCAGCAGCGACATTTCAGAGATGCCCTCCCCTTGCTGTTGCTTGGCATGCTGCATCACAAGTCCCCCTACACACACAAAATTCAGATGTTCAAAACATATCAACATATTGAGCAGTTAGGTGAATTTCCTGCACAAGTGAAATTGGACTGAATCTGTAAACTTGTTTATACTCCTGGACTGTGTTTGGAACGAATTTGGAGTACAAGGAAACCAAAACAATATCTGGACTGTGTTTGGACTAAATTTGGAGTACTCCTGGACTGAATTTGGACTGAATTTAACTGAAACAATGATCAAGACAATGAATAGTACACAAAACAGGATAGTCCAGAACCATATGTGACGGACGGTACCCCAAAAATAAAGGACTTGGGTGGGTGCTGCAAGCAGAATCAAAACAGTTACATATATCCCTAAGTATTGTTATATGTTAAAAAACTGCCAACATGACCTGTTAGGCTATTCCATTGTTTTCCAATTGGTTTCAACAAAGTGCTGTGATGTATGTGTCTTAACATAACTCCTAAGAAATGTTCACAACCTGAATTAACTACACTTTTTCTCATTGAAGTGAACACATCAGCAGTTTAATCAACAAAACCATACTTTACTATAGAATGTATCTTCTGAATGCATAACAGGATATGTAGAGAGAGAGAGAGAGATCGCCTTGGCAACAACAGATGGTGCGCATCCTTGCCGGACAGGAGCAGCTTGTCCTTGGCCCTCCCCACGGGATGGTACCAAACTGCACACACACCAAGCAAGAGAGAACGCATCAGATGATATGAGAAAATGAACCGTGGCGGCAGCAGCAGTGATTATGGGTGTTGAAGGGAAGGCAGAGTGGGCAGCAGCAGTAGTGATTACCAGGAAGTTGTGGTAGACGAATGCCCTGGGCTCCCACGGGATGACCTCCATCCACTGCGCACCGCGCTTGCCCAGCCCCTCGCTGCACCCACCCATGAGAATATAGTATGCAAGATGCCTACAACACATTCATACATGACAATCATTAGGAACACAGTAAAGAGAATGCAAGCAATTGCTTCAGTTTTTCTTTTTGCACAAGTGCAAATGTCAACATGAAACAAGGAGCTCAAGGAATTAATCCCCAACACATCAGTACATCAGTTGCAACTAATCAGACCACAGCATAAATAACGGGCCACGATATACTAGTAAATTGAACTACTACTGCTACTACTCAGTACATCAGTATCAAAGAGTGGATTTCGGCTACCATATATACATGTACTAATAAACTACTGTGCTAGTAAAAGAGGGAACACAAAAGGCAAAAATTGGAATAGCAGAGCAGAAGCATGGAAGAGGGACAGTTGATCTCTTGGCTAACAGCTAACAGCTAAAATCCTCTGGGCTATGACTTCAACCAGGACAGTTGATCTCTTGGCTAACAGCTAACAACAAAGAAGTGCCCATACAGCCAATTTACTGCCCTATAATGATTATAAGAACTAGAAATAAAAGATATATCATAGTACTGAACAGTTGAGCAGTTGCAGATCCATCTAATCATGTGGAAAGTCAATGAGCAGTTGCAGATCCACCATTGCCACCATCTAGTCACGAGGATTGGAGTCCTCCTCAGTCTTGACACTGAGCTTTTGCTTCCCCATGACCTGCAGATAGGTCACCAACATAAACCATTTGAAATGATTAAACAAGTGCACTGGAAGCAATCTAGATCAGCATACAAACATCCATCTTCGGCAACACTTGAAGCATAACTACTAAAACAATTATGAACCTGAGATAAGTCGAAGAATCTTACAAGGATAAAATAATTACATAAATTCATCAAAATAAAACACTACATCTCTGTTTCTAAACCAGAGAGCCAAGAGAAGAACTATAACAGATGTAGTTCTCTGCCTCAACATGCTGTAATAATATTATCTCTATTGATCCATGTCCATCTGGGTTAATATGAAATGTAAAGAAATTGAATGAGCCAACTTGGTACATCATTACAAATGATTACTTGCTAAGAGAAACAAGTCAGAAAACAAAGCTGCATATAACCACCTAAATATTATGGTCAAGTACTAATTATCAAACGGGCATATCCACTTGTCTGCTACTCCCTATGTAATCAAATGCAAGACATTTTAGGTCACTTCACAGATTTAGTAGTTTGTAAGTAGAAGAATAGAAATTTGAAGAAAAAAAAGGGTGGAGACGCACTGAGATCACGGCACATAACAGGTGTTCAGATCAATGGAAAGCTAATGTATTTTGGAGATGGTACCATCCCTCTCTCAGAATAATCAGAGCCCAAAATTCCACATGCTGATCGATTGATATGCCGAACAGGGGGATCGGCTGAGGGGCTCAACGCGGTGCGGATGACGAGCTCGGGGAGGCCAGACACGTCGGAGCAGCAAGGGCGACGCGGATCGACGGGGGAAGGCACGCGGCGGCCGACGGGGAAGAAGCTCGGATCCGGTGATGTGGGGGCACCCAACTTGAACTGGTGGCTGTATTCGATGCAGAGGGGAGCTGCAGAGCTCGTGGACACCTTCCCATGTCGCGGATCCGGCGATGTGGTGGGTGAGGAGGTGCGGATCGACGAGATCCACCCATCATCATCACCCTTCTCGAGGTTCTTGACGCTTGGGTGACGCGGATGCGGTGCTGCGCCTCCTGCGGGCCCTCGAAGCCGGCCTTACCGGCCTTCATCGGTGGCGGGCCCTTGGAGGGGAGGGGACCTCTAGCCAGGGTAGGGGAGGGGAGGTGGCGCCGGCGGCGGTGTGGATGCGCTCGCCAGCGGGAGGAGGTGGCCGTGGAGGAGGTGGTCGCCGCGGTCGAATGGATCTAGGATGTAGGGAGAGGGGAGAAGGAG